TTCACCTCAGTTGTTGCTGCTGGTGCCTGCGTCCTCACCTTCGTTCTGTTTCTCTTTCTCTTTGTTGTCCTTGCCAGGGCCTTTGCCTCTTCCCCATCCGTCGCGGCCACGACCTTTGCCTTTACCGGAGCCTTTCTTTCCGTCCCGTTGCTCGCCTTTGCCTCCTTTCGCGGCTCCTTTACTGGCACTTTTGCCCGCTACTGCGGACGCAACGGAGACGAGACTTGCGAAATTGGATTCGAAGTCGCTGCAGAATTTCTCTGCGCAGTGGTCTGTGGATGCCGGAAGGAAGTCGCTAAAGAACTCCCGCAACGCTTTCGGAATCAGCACACCTGTGAATTCCTTGGCCAATTTTTCGCACGCGCCGATCATCTCGTCCGACCGTAACGGCTGGCACACGCCACAGGCGACCGCGAAGCGGATCCAGGCTCGATTGAGCTCGAGCGGCATGTAGTCGGCCTCCTTGCCGGTGATGGTGTTAGAAGTTTCGACGCGCATGCTTGTCACGCGAGTTCCTACTACCTTGCGCACCTTTGCGACTGTGGCGAAGTCGATTTCCACGAAGAACTTCGGACCATGCACCATGGTGATTCCGGAGAGGAGCGTCTTGGTCTTCAGTGGTTTGAGGTCCACGGTCTTTGCGCTTTCCAGCAGGCCGCGGGCCTGCTCCTCTTCTCCGTCCTTCATGTGAAGCGTTGCAGCACAAGTAGGTGGATTACTGCGTCCGAGGTATCTTTCTCAACCAGGCGCAACTCGTGATCTTGAGGGTATGCCGGGATGCCGGCTGGGCGATCGATAGTCCACCCCCAAGACCACTGGTCGCGCGACCACTGGACGCCCAGGCCGTTGCCATTGGCCTGCTGTGCGCCAGCAGCGTTGTCTCCTGCTGGACCGTCCTGAGCGGGCGGCGCGACATGAGCCTGATTGCCTTTCGGAACTGCTTTCGGGGGAGGTCCAGCGTATACAGGTGGGCCTGCGATAACGCCCCCAGCGCCACCTTCTCCAGGTGGCCCGATGGGAGGTGCGCCTGCTTTCGTCAGCGCTGCCTTTGCTTTCGCAGCTGCTCCTCCTGCAGCCGCGGCTTTGTGCTTCGGCTGGGCTTTAGCCACAACAGGCGCTTTCGCCTTTCCTCCTGCTACTGCCTTAGCTTTTGCTTTTGGCGGCATTCTTTGGTGGTGGAGAGAGTTGATAGAAGTGACGCGATTTGTCTTGTGTTTCCCTGTGGAGGTGGAGTAAATGACTCGAAAACTACGACCGAAATATTACAGGCATTTTTTCGGTCGACTTTTTCAAACTTAAAGGAGACAAGCGATATACTACATATGGAACGCTTGGAATCAGCCCTAATTTTCGTGGATCTAACTTTCGAAGATCTGCGGACCTATCACCCGGCTATTCTGGCGTAGATCTAGCATGTTTTGTGCGCGCGATCATCACAGATCGGCCATTTCTTAAGTGGCTGGCAGCGCCATGATCGAAAATGATCGAAATTATACCTGACCTTTTTCGACCGCCTTAACGCTTAACTTGATCGTAGCACGTTTTGTGCGCGCGATCCTCGCGGATCGGCCATTTCTTAATTGACGGGCTCGAGTGCCATGATCGAAAATGATCGAAAATTTACCTGACCTTTTTCGAACGACTCGGTGCTTAACTTGTCGACGAAACAAGTCCGGCTCTCGATAGCCGAGGCTGTCCTCGTCCACACATGGTTAGTGCGGGTTTGGAGCTGAGTGGACGAACGCCGGCGCTGACGCTTCTGCGCCCCTAATCGACAACGAGCGTGGTTAGCTCGAGTGAAAAGGATGTCGGTGCTGCCCCCTCAGTGTTGCTATGTTCTACTAAGATCCCAGGCGTCCTTCTGCCTGACTGGCACGCGGTGGCGCTAAGGGGTCGATCGTTGGACCGAATGGCCGGCGTGTTGCCTCGGCTGAGCGTTGGTTTCTTTAACTCTTCTTGCCCTGATTAACTCTTCTTGCCATTTATTGGCCTCGCGTGCTTTGCCGCGTTTTCTTGCCATTTATTGGCCTCTTCGTTGTCTGCTCGTTTTGAGTGGACTCTCATTGCTTCCTGCTAGTGATGGAAACTTTTTGCTTCCTGAGTGCCTCGCCATCGCTGGCAGGCGCTCGTGCAGTAGCACTTACTAAACAGGTGGAACCTTGTTTACCCGGCGTTGCCCCCCGGGGAGCGCGCACTTCGCGCACTCGGCTTTAAATCTCAATAAAGCCAGCTTTAAATTCCACATAAGTTGCTTAGTACTATCTGCAGCCATCAACTGGACCTAAGTATTATCCGCAGTATACAATATCGCCCAATGTGAAATATTAAACACCCACAGTGGACAATGTGAAATATTAACCATCATATACTGACTGTAGTGGTTCGCCACTTATTCTCGTAACCAATACAAAAATTTTGGAACTTCGAAACAGTTTTTCACGAGTAAGTTGGGCGACGTCATGCCTCCGCTTCGGTAGTTAGCTAAGAAGTATCTGCAAACGGTGGTGGACTACGGCTGAAAACGCAGCCATAACACTTCTAGGCTTTTGACGGCTTCGGCCTCGCTGTGGGGCATCGCAATTTCCGTCCATCACTTCGCAAGTTGGTAAATCCGTGCCGTCCTCCTCGCCCAACAACCTGGGAATATGGTTGGTAAGGATCATTAGTCAACTCAAAGTCGTTTGTGTTCTTATCATACTTAGCTTCTTATAGTGCTTACTCCTTATCATGCCAGGTTATCGATTGCACATCGTCAACCATTTTTACAACGTAGTAGGGGTCTATCAAATAATACCTAGACTTCTCTGCCGCGATACGAAAGTTTTCGTTTTTCCCTGAAAAAGTTGGCAAGTCCGTGCCTGGCTTGTCCAGATCCAACAACCTGTGAGCAACGTGATGTTTGGGTTACCATAGTCAGGATGTTTAAAGTCGTTCTTGGTCTTCGTGGAACTTGTTCGTCCCGCTGTAGAACCAGTACTAGTTCTAGTGGACTTGGATTAGCCTAAAAAAGATGTCTACAAGAATAAATCTAGTACCAAGATGAAATATGTTGGAGATATAAGAGTGATCAAGAGTTTCGGTTTCCTATGAGATCATTCAAACACAGATCATTTCCACAACCTAGCAAGCATCTCTGACTCTACCAAATCTTCATAAATACCAAGCTCCCTCCACATTCCGCATCTGAGCCTGCTCGAAAATGGATGTCCTCTCAAACGGCATCCCATAAACCGTCTCAAACGGCATCCCGTAAACCCTCTCAAGCGGCATCGTCAGCTTTTGGTTACCAGGAACAGCGTGCAAAAATTGGTTAGGACCAGGAACAACGTGCATAATTTGGTTAGGACCAGGAACAACGTGCAAAAATTCGCTACCAGAAACAAGGTGGATCCTACTTGCAGGGACAAGTAAAATCCTTTCTCGATCGACGAACCGATAAAGACCTGATGAGGGTTGCATAATGAAGAGTGTAGGACTCTCCAAGAAAAAAAGCTCAATAGCAATGAAGGTTGCATAATGAAGAGTGTAGGACTCTCCAAGAAAAAAAAGCTCAATAGCAATGAAGGTTGCATAATAAAGAGTGTAGGATTCTTCAAGAAAAAAAAGCTCAATAGCAATGAGGGCTGCATAATGAAGAGTGTAGGATTCTTCAAGAATAAGCTTCTTCAAGAATAAGATCCTTTGTGAAAATATAAGTTGTCAATTGTTGTTCTGTGGAATGCGTCTAATCACAATGTAGGAAGTTCGAAATCCGGTCATCGTTGTCTCTGTAAGGGAAAACAGGATCCAACTACCTCCGGGTGGCGAAGCAGTCTGGTGATAGAGTCCACTGTGGTGGAGCAGCGTGTTCGGTGCAAGCGGGCGATAGAGTCCACTCTGGTGTAGCATCTTGGTCGGTTCGCCAGTCATTTTCTCCGCGCGAGCTGGCGCTGACTCGCGCACAACGCGGCGCGGCGGTTTTGGGCTCGAGCCCTTGGGTTCCGACTCCGCCATTGTTTTGGAGGATTGATGTCTAGCAGGTGCCAGTTGTAGTAGTGTTCTTGAAATCAGAAAATACTTCTGGGGAAGGATAAAACTCAATGAGGTCGTAGTACAACGGGGGACTACGAGCCTTATATATAACGGTCACAGCTTCTACTGATCTCGCAGACTACAGCCTCTTATTTGATTGTGATTCTACTGGTATCACAGTCTACAACATTGACTGCGAGTGCCCTACTAGAGATGATGTAACTTCTCTACTAGATTGGCAGTGGGGAGAACGTCGAAGAGTGAAAATTTCTCCACTATGTATAAAGTGAAGTTTGGATGTGTTTGTCTTGCGATTTCTTCCACGAGCGATGAATTTTGCATAAAGTAAGGTTTTCGCATCTTATCTAGTATACCAAACATTTGACTCATCCATCATCTTTGAAAAAGTCCAACTTACCTTGTTTTACGACATACTTAGACAGTATACTCTCGTTTTTTTAGCCCGTAGCCGAACACGATATCTTCTCCGACGCGATAAGCCCTTACAGGAAACGAGTTTGTGTTACGAGGACAATAGCAAGCGAGTTTTGATCAGTATCTCAGGGTCTTGGATGGCAAATTGGTCTGTGAAGCGAGACGACGTACATCGCGAGGAATGCCATGCATCAATCTGCGACACAGTCGCGAATTATATCATCATTTTTCATCTTGATATTCAAGCGAGGAAACTGATGTCGTGTTCGCAAGCATCATCGTCTGCTGCCAGTAGTAATAGAGCACCAACCGCTCGCCCTACATCATCCGTTTTCTATCCTGATATCGTCTTTCTATTTCGATCGCGTGTTTTTCTGATATCTCCTCCTCTACTTAGGGGTTGAAAGTTGACCTTGACCCTCATCTAGTAGTTCACATAAATCTTCTATGGCTTCTTTCCCTATCTAGTAGTTCACATAAATCTTCTATGGCTTTCCCAGTTGTAAGAAATGCCCACGGAGATGCTCATAGAGAAGTCAACTTCCAACCCTTAATCTACGGTGTCACGACTAATGAAACGCCACACGTGTATTTCTTTCGCCATCTGCCCCAATCTTCTTGTCCGCCCAATAGCCTGCATCTCCCAGCTCATGATTAGAGCATTTCCAGAAGCCCTCACTAGAATAGGAGAAAATGACGGAGGAGCCCTCACTAAAATGGGATAAGATAGGCTTGTCATTATCATGCTCTCGCGTGACCCTATCGCCTCGCACGTGTCGCGCTCGCGGCGCCCTTACCACATGTCACTAGGATATGATAGAAAAGGAATAAGAACCCTCACTAATATAGGATAGCTGCCCCCGTCACTTCGTGTCATGTCAGGATGCCTCAAATTATTGCTCTATATACCAACGGGGAGACCCTATCAGCCTTCTTGTACCTTCGTGCATCACTTGTGCCTTCGTGGTCATTTCACAGAAATGGAAGTAGTAGGTGTAAGTTCGACAATAGGAAGAAGGGAGAAAAAATAGTAGAAGCACTCTACTTAAGAAAGAGAAATGTTCTTGCCTTAAGATTCTGGTATTCAGTGACGGCGCGTTCATGGGATGCAAAAAGACCACGTGCGAAACGAAAGTTAAATTCAGTCCCGCCGCTTCGTCTTCGAGCGAAAGAATCAAGACGCGAGCATCGTCACACAGGTTAGAGCAGTGACTCAGTAATTGACTTACCGATTCGGGAAGAGAAGAAAGGTAAATTTTGAGTAAGACGGTTTTGTTGAGCTGCTTCTTGGAGACCCGTCTTCAGATTCTAGGACACAGAAAGGGTAAAAAAAGCATCTCAATCTATTGTGAAAGTCCAAAAAAAGCAGCTCTACTTCGCGAGCTCCTGCCGAGCATTCTATTTACCATCATCATCGTGCCCCATTGAGTACCACAAGCAAAATGGCGGGACAACACCATGCTGTTTTATCAATCAGGTGGACCTTAGACAAAAAAAGAGTTGATCTCTATAGAACAACAGATGACATATTTTCACTTTTGCATGTTCCCTTATAGCATTTAAGGCTTAACCAACGATGTATCCACTCCTGGACGGAAGATGCGGTTCTTGGACACATTGGAATTCGCTACCGTGCTCGATCCTCCGGGACGTCCTTGCTGATCGTCAGCAAGCATAGATTAGAGACGGTTAGATTGAAGAGTTGCTCATTAGGTTAGATTGGATAGTTGATTCGACTGAATCAAGTTACCTTAGAATTAGATTAGAGATTAGATTGGATGGCGACTACTGGAGCTTTTTAAGAAAGAATAGAAAATAGTTGTATGTCCTATCCGTAAATACCGGCAGTCCCGCGCAACACTTTGAAGCCGATTCTCGCGTCGCTCAAAGCTTGCATGACCTTGGTTTTTAGACTGCTCCATTGTACGAAAAGTAAACACTGTCCGACTTTGCCCTTTTGCAACACTTCCACCACCTTTCCCAATTTACTACCGTGTCGCTGCGCAATCTCTGCGGCCGTTCGGGCTTGTTTTAGAGCTTTGTGGAGGACTTTATGGACAACTTTACTTTACTTTTAATAGGAGCAAGTAGCAAGTGCAAGTTGAAATAGGTGGCTATTTACGTAGAAGATACTCCTAGAAACTTAGCTAGCAAGATAAACTTTTAGGTTCCTTTTCAAACAATAGAAGAAGTTGCTCCTGCTCTCTCACGTTCTTCTTCCTGCGAAAATGATATTAGCAGATAAAAATGAAATGGGAATGCTTCAATCCGTAATTGTTGTTGCGATACAGCAGATGCTTCATTAGAACTCAAACCTGCTGATGCCAGCGCCCTCGATTCGGCATCTCGTCGTGCTCGTGTCAACGCAACCAGTTCCTCTTCTTAGAGGTTTCCAGATAAGACGTAACAATGCGTAGAGAAGATGCAAGACATGACTCAGCACAAAATGAAAACATGAGGATGAAGATAGCGGCTTTCACGTTCATCAGTTACGAAGATAAAAACATGTGCGAAACAACAAGTAAACGGGCCCTGCACTCTGTCAATTTCAGAAAGAGCAACACGCATAGCGGCATCAGTCGAGCGAGCAATTTGTTCTCTTCTTGTTTATGTTTGAGATTCACAGTGATGTAGCCTCAATTTTCCATCGGATAGACGTCTTTGGCTGTAAGCTTCGCCCTGCACTGCGGACACTCTGCTTTGTGCTGCAGCACCTCCTTTATGCACGCCGTGCAATAACTATGTCCGCAAGAGGTAATGGCCGCATCCCGAGGCAAGATGGGGCATTTCAAATTAGAAGAAGAGGCCAGTTACTAGAGCCTTTGGTTTTGTCGAACATTTTTGATGATCATATTCATGTCCTGCTCGAGTTATATTCGGCGGATATGAGTCATCGAGTACCATCATTAGTCCTGTTATGAAAACGAATGGGGATCGCCGAAAAGTTTTTAATCATCCAATATATAATTCTCATAACTAAACACACCGGACACGAAAGCTGTTCAGGTTGCTGAGGAACAGTTTCGGATGACTCAGCGACGGCCTGTCCCGCAGAGGAGCTTTGGCCTGTGTCTCCCGTTTCTAAGAGTCTTAGAAGTTTAAGGTTGATGACTTGATTCATTACCTTCGTCAATTTTCTCTAGTACCTATATCAATTTCACAGTGGGAAGGAACATGATGCACATCATTGATGACGCAATACAGCACCCCTTGTTGGCTGTACATGATGACGTTGACGGTTTCCTTAAAGCTAGAAAAACCCTGTTCATAAAAGTGCTTCCCTACCCAATGCTTTCTCCGAAGATTTTTGCGCCACTGCGATTACGGGTTCATCCAGTACTGATTCTAAAGGTGGTAGCGAATAAAGATTGTCGGTTGTTTTCTTTGCTGAAGACTTGCCGTCTCCTCCTCCAGTAGTTAAGACAGTCCCCTGGCCAGCTGTTCTTGGTGCAGCCACACCTCCAGCAAGCTGCTTTCTTAGAAAACTTTTTGCTCAACACAGGAGACCGATTTATGACTATAAAAGTTCACTTGTACTAGTACGGTTGTATGACTATAAAAGTTCACTTGTAGTACGGTTGTATGACTATAAAAGTGCACTTGTAGTGTAGTTGTATCACTTTATATTTCTCGACCACTTGCGCCACTTTTTCTGTAAGGACTAGCCTACTTTTTATTTCCGCATTTTTCTATTTGCGGACTCTACTTGCTACAAAGGACCACGAATAGAAAATCCACGTGATAGATTCACTAGTCCGCACACTTAGAAGTAGGACCACTACATCTACAGTGTACGAGATTATAACGTAATCTAATATATCCTTGACTTCAACGTCTGAGTATCCTTAACTTCAACGTCTGAGTGAAAAAAGCATACGTCCTGACCGCTTCTCGTGTTTCCTCTCGTACTAGAACCTGCAACCTGGACAACAGTTGGACCACAGTGGATGCCCAAATCTTAATCTTCTCCGACTTCCCAGCATCCCGCTCCGCATCACTAGCAAAGACGTCAGCAAGAGAAGACGATATTGAGATGTGTTAGAGCGATGATGCTTGATAAAATAGTGTGAGTTCTATTTTTGGAGCGATGCTTGCAAGTGCAGCCTTAAAAACTGTAGTCACTATTACTGCTGCTGAGAAATCGGTGTAGCTCCGCACTCTGGTCTTCACTCATGCACGCAAAGCGAAATCCGCCTGAAGCTGACGAGGAATGATCGCGTTAGAGGGCTTCATTGTTCGTGGGTAGGAAGACTTGAAAACCGGAATCCGTGAGTTGACGGGTAAGGCGAGCAGCCAAAAGTTAAGGACGACCCTACTACCATTTATACAGGTTAGACCTATTTTAGAGCACTTCTAGTACGTACCATCAAACCTTGTTTAGAGCTGCCTTAGGAGTCTGACTTCTCCTACACCTACTATTATAAGTGCCATAATTTATTGCAGCAGAAGATGCTGCTTCTTGTTGCGTGCCCTCTAATTTTCGTTGCGCCGCCTGATTCGTCGATCGCAACGCTGTCCACAAATTTGTTTTCGGAGCATCCCTTGCGACTGAGAATACCTCTGACAGTCGTTGTAGGACGCGATCAGGTAAGTCTTTCGTCGGAGCGAGATTAGCGGTAGAAAGATGTAGTTCAAGCATAGATATTCAACATAGGTTTAGAAATTCAAGTGATAGTTTTTTCACCCATACATAGGAGTATCCTGGCTTTTGCTAGAATGAAGACAAGAAACAAAATTCTACATCCATACTAGAAAAACCTAAAGTCCTCCCTTAACGACAGAAGAAGAACTGGAGGGAAAGGTTTCTTCGAGTATCCGCAAAATCTTAGTCTCGCGATCGATTCTCAGTGTTCTCCTTCCAGTAGGAGACCTAGAACGCTCTGGCTCAAACTTAGAGGTGTCCGCTTGACCTCCGTCTATCGCACATTTATCTTCTATGGCTATTTTTTCTTGTGGCTAAACAGATCCTTTATGGCTTTTCTTTATGGCTATAAATCCCTTGAGAAATAGCATATTGTGGCCATAGAAGTAAGGTGCGTATAGATAGTTCATTGTGTAACCCGTAACAAAGGGCTCATCATCCGAGTGACCGGTTGGAATGTCCTCAATGGGTCCCTCTGCAGGAGGCATAATCGCTCGCGGGCGCTTGCTTGAAGGAGGAGGAGGCACTTGGTATTAGAAGCTACGAAATTCTAGTATCTCATGATCCGTGACTTGCTTATTCCTGAAAAAAGAGCCAGGAATGTTGTAGGAAGAGAGCAGGGATGTAGAATGTGGAAACCCTTAATGGTGGGGATGCGCGATGCGGTCGTGATCATCGTGTTCTTGGTCGCTTCGACTACGCTTCCTTAGTTGATGTACTGCGTCGTTCGCATAATTTGTTGAAGTAGTCGTGGTCGTTGTATTTAGGCCGTTAAAAACGTTTTGAATGCCTGCTACAAAAGGGGTATTGCGCTGCGCACTAAAGCTAGACGAGGAGGCATGATGATGTTGACCTTGCTCTATTCCGCCACTAATTTCAGCTGCTGTTCCACCAAAGAGCGACTTCAGGTTTTCATCCACAGTAGCTGTGCGAGTTCGACCGGCTAATCGCGCTAGGCCAGCAGCCACAGTCTTCAGTAGTCGTTGCCAAGCTGGGAGTTGAAGATCTGCGACAGAACTGGCATTTATTGTCCTACCATTCGGCCCTCCCGTCAAGAGCGCAGCAGACCCGGATGAGGATGCAAGATGGCCTCTAGCCAATTCCTCCAGAAACCGTGCTGCAGCTTCGATCAGGTATAACAGAGACTCGACTTGTTCCAGAGCACGTAAAACGCGTTTACGACGTTCCAGCGAAGCATGCTGACAGCCTTCTGCGGAACTCCTAGCGCCACTCTCCAGTCCGAAATGAGAGCAAAACTTCAACAATTGTTCGTACTGACGTAGCTGGCGAGTGGAGAGAACCTCCTCTGTTGTAGTATTTCTTGTGGTAGAAGTTGTTGTTGCTCCACTGCTAGAAGCTGTTGCTGTTGTTGTTGGCACACCACCATTTGTTGGTACACCACCATTTGTTGGTACACCACCATTTGTTGGTACACCACCATTTGTTGGCACACCACCATTTGTTGGCACATCAGCCGCAGATAATATTCCAGTCGTACTCGCTGCAATTGCAGAATCAATTGCAGTTCCTAAGCGCAGTCCTTCTCGTCGTCGCGTAGTAGCAAGGTAATTCACATCGCGTGCTTGCGCCAAATACAGTACACGTTCTTCAGCCGTGAGCTCCACTTGCACTATGTGTTCCCGGATGCCAATGCTATCGACATAGCTGTTTCTGGTATTCTGTCTGCCGAAGGTTAGAGGATGGGTATTGGCATTGCTCTTCTTCTGTAAGAGAAGTTTACTCTCGCAGAGAGTAGATTTTCATCACGGCGACAGGCTTGGCTAGGCACAAGAAGCAAAAACAAACGGTACTAGTGTAAAGACTGGGTAAGTTGACGGTGTAGGAACAGATGACTTATTCAACACTGTCTGAGTCCACATCGACATCAAAAGAACGTCAGACACGCTTCTAACCACACTTGTCTTTGTACTTACATAGGTAACCTCCTTAAATAAGCTTCCAGCCAGTCCCTGGACGTTGCTTCAGCGAGTTGTAACCGTGAGGGTCGACGATAGACATCAGCATCAGCTAAAAGGTCCATGCGAAAGAGCAGTTTGGCCAGCTGGGTCATATCCCGCACAGAACTAGTAGGCGGCGTCCCGCTCAATCCAAAGGTACAACGACTGCGCAATTGCGTGCAGGCTTGAATTAGATAATGAGCATGCTGCACCCAAGAACGAGGGGTAGGTAGGTGCGCTAGGTAGGTGATTGTTGCCCCCAGGAACAAAGGGGAGGTAGGTAGGTAGGTGCGCTAGGTAGATGATTCACTTCTTTCTTCCTACGTCAACGTCGGGAATTTCTGTTTCCGAAGGCGTAATTAACTCCGAAGGAAAAAAATATTCAATAGTTTCTACCTGTTCGATCTGTGGATGAGGAATAAGTTTTTACAACTTACTTAGTCTTGTATAGCTGTATCGTGGTCTTTACTAGGAATTCTGTATAAGTTATCAAGTCAACCAGAACCTTAACAGTCGTGGTTTCTGTTCGTTCTTTCCCTGAATCTGCCTAAAAAATTCGTGAAATTCATCTAGGATCAAACGATCGAAGTAAAACTGCTCTAAAACCGGGAAAAACGCAGTCGATTGCCAACTCTTTCCCACGGGACGGCCAAGGGGAAGTCCTCCACGAGAAGGTCCTCGTGTGGAACCTCTATCCACATCATTCCCATCTTGATGCTCTACTTCGCTATCCGAAGAATCGCCTTCTTGGTCGCTATTGTCACTACTACCAACAACATCATCTCCCTGTAGCTCATCCTTCACCTCTTTTTTCACTTTCTTCGACCTCTTGTGTCCTTGCGACGAACTGCTCGCAGGTTGGTCCTTGTCCTTTTTCACGCCCTTCGCCTTCTTCGCTTTTGGCTTCGCTTTTGCCTTCGATTTCGCTTTCGACTTGGCCTTACCCCCACTAGCCGTAGACCGTTCTAGAGGTTCTAGGGCTGCACTCTGCTCCAGTGCCGCAACTGTGTCTCGCGCCGGTCCCTTCTTACGTCGTGCGGTTACCGAAGGCCACGTCTGTGCTGTACTGGAAGGGCCTCTAGATCGAACCATTGCTGTTGCACTGCGCAGTTGAAAGCATTGCTCTGCTCTAGAGAGTTTACAGAATTTCTTTTTTTCTTCTTTGTCGAAAGCTTCGTTTTGTTCAGCAACTGTAGTCGTCGTGTCCGTGGATACACTGTGGTGGTGGTGTTGTTTATTACCAAGTTCTCTAGCCAGTTCCCACATTCGACTCTCGTAGCTCGACGCCAGCAAAACCGCACTGGAACAAAGGATCACGTCGTAGTCTCGACGAATCTCCTCGATGCTGACGCCCCGCAGCTTATTCACGTTCTTCAAACAGAGAATGCGCAGTTTGTCGAACGTGAACTTTTTAAACTCTGCCAACCACTGCGAAACCAACGCTGGAGGCACAACTACTAGGGTCGCACGGGAAGAAAAGTAGCAGCCTTGATCAAAAACTGGAATGTCGCGATCCAATCTTTTTAACAGACTGTCGTGATTGATGATGCTGTAATTCTTGTGCCTGCTCTGTAGTTCTGTGTCCTTTCTTTCACTGCCAGATGAGTCAAGAGGCTGCAAGAACTCATCACTTGCAGCATGCATATCGTGGCCACCGCCCTGCTGTTGTTCCACCAGTCTGGACACTATCAACGCAATCGTTGTCGCCGTCTTCCCGTACCCGATCCTATCTGCCAGTAAGCCTCCACGGCCTCGAAAATCCAAACCCACCTCCAATTTCAGGTTCCACAAGGCTCTTCTGTCTCCCAGACTCGAACCGCTGCAATAGGCACGCACAGGCACGCTGAAACTCGCACCAACTCCTTCTTTCCGATCTTGCTTTAGCATCCAGGCTAGCGACCGCAGCTGCTCTTCACGCAACGGTAAGGACGATGGCCAGTATGAAGCGGGTGGCTGGGGGGCCGCGACATCTGCGTCGTTGTTGGGGATTACAAAAGTCGTTTGGGACGGTTTTGAGGTCGGCCTTCCACGCTCCCAGATTCGTTTTCTGGCGTCTGGAGTTAGAGACCTTTATCTACCTTTAGGTGATAAAGCTAGTTTCTGAAGTCTCCAAGATAAAGCTAGTTTCTGAAGTCTCCAAGATAAAGCTAGTTTCTGAAGTCTCCAAGAGCATTCTTAAGTAAGAACGAAGGTCGTAAGTATAAGAAAACTCATCTCCAAACAACTACTGAGGCACGGGACAGCTGTTTATTACCAGAAATCGTTTTATCAGCAAATCTGAGGCACATAACATGCGTCGCGCCAGTATAATGACAAGATTGCTTCATCTATCAGCATCACTAACAAGACGCATCTTTAGGTTTACTACGTTTAGCAAATAGCTTTACTACGTTAAGCTACGGTTAGCAAAAATAGCTTTACTAAGTTCAGCAAAAGCCTTAATACGTCGTCGCCTGGTGCAGGGCCAGAGACTGACTCTGCTACGAACCCATCCGCTGAAAAGGGGCACAGAGACGCACGGACACTTATTGGTGTGAAAGCCGTTTGATTAGCCAAAATATGTTCGATCGCGCCGCCAGCGTTACATACCAGTCTCAAAGGACAACGCTGAAAGCTAGAAGTAGGTGCGAAAGCCGTGCTCATAGCTCCTTTAGTACTATTGTTCATCTTGGAGGTAGCTGTGGTAGCTTGTCCACCACCCTTGGATCCTGTGGTAGATTAGAGCTTCTCTTCTAAGGAATTATGCCTAATGCATTGTCAGGACAGGAGTGAAACTCTAAATTGTTACTGTAGATTAGAGTTGTAGACCCTCAACAAATCTAAATAAAACCACCCTTTTATCTATTTACCCATAATTGCATGAAGGGATATAACCTAAAAGTAGAAAGAGGAACTGTCCGAAGATACCCGAAAGCTATTCATTGATGTGTTAATAGGTTAGCAATTACCGAAGGCGTTTGATATTTTATCTTAACCATAATGTTGATTCCCAGCACTGCTCGCCCCGGCATGCGGTAGTCCCTTTTTCCCACCTGTTTGAACAGGTCGGTGCAAATGCAAAGAGACGCCAAAAGGTACCTCGTAACGTTTGGTAGATAGAGTCCTCGTTCCAGAGCCTTCTGTCTCCACTCCGCAAACCGCTTGTGGATTCCTACTCTGGAAGGCACGCAAACACGAATTGGCTAATACAAGGATTAGAATGTTGCTGATTAACTCAAACAAATAAAAGCACAACTTTTTATTGAAAAGACCTTTATGCAACTCGGACTAAGAACAGCCTTCTCTAGCCTTTCACTACACATTGGTGCAATTTTTTCGGTCTCCTCGCCTTTGAATTGTAGTGGAAATTAAAAGAGGACAAGCTGCACTTACGTGCGACTAAGAGAGAACAATTTGCACCCATAACTCCAAGGACATGCTTTCTGTCCTAGCGTCTACCACTCGCCTAAATCTCTGGAGTTTCTCTTTCAATTCAGGCAATGTTCGCAACCTGTCGGTCACGTCAGCCCACTGCGCCATACTAAACGATTCCAAGGAGGACGACAAGTTTGGCGCGCTCAGCTGGTTCTGTTCCGCTCTGCGCATCAGCGCGTCCCCCAGTGTTTGGATCTGACCGTACTGAAGGACGTACTGACCGCGATAACTGCTAGAACTTGATGAAAATATCGGTGTGCTGTCCTCTGTGGCAATCATCCCTGTGCCAAGGTGAGCCTCAGTCTCTACTGCATCATGATGACCACCCCTTCCTCTAGGGAGAATGCTGTTCTCCACAAAAACTGGTCTCCGTTCAAATGTGAACTCCGTTTTCTGTGAACTCACGTGTTCAGGACCGAAGAGGGACTCGACATCGCGTGGGTGCAACCCAGTGATCTCAGTTTCCTCTAGGGCAAAGAACCCAGCTGCTACCGGAGGCAGTGTGGGGTTCGAACCCTTCGTCCCTACGCTTCTGTTGATAGGCGTTTCAACCTCCTGATCCACGCCTATTCGATTTGCCACTAAGCGAAGCATCAAGTCGTTCGCTCGCGCTGATCCACCACCTGGTGCGGCAGAATCTTTATTCGCCAAATTCAAAATTTGGCCTACCGCGGCATTAGAATCTTCTCCGTGTCCCCCAGCAGAACCAGGAGTCCTCTTCATCTCCCCTTTCATACCATGTTGAGGGTCAGTAGTTGTAAGATTTGACTCCTCTTCCTCCTCAGCCCAGACATATTTTCGCAGCAAATTTGAACCGAAAGCGTCTGCCATGTCTCGACGGATGAAGATCGGTGGACCCTATGTAAGTTTGATACTCAATATAACATGAACAAAAAACGCACCAGATGACTTCCTCGTCCTGCTCCTCTTAGTGAAGCTCTACAGTAGACGATCTTTCTAAGTCCTATGTATTATATGAGTTACTCCACAAAATAAGAGCTAGTATATGAGTTACAACTCTACATCAAACTCTACACTATATCTATTTCTGACTTACCCGTTCCCACGCCGCTGTTTTCAGCACGTTCACTTCCACAGGTTCCGCAGCCCTTGCTTCGGCAGCAGAAGCATATCTCGCCAGCAGGAACATGTGCGGCGCGATGTTGAGGGATAGCACACGATCAATATGGTCATCGCTGAGGCCGCAACTGTCGGCCAGTAAGCGCCGAAAAAACTCGTGGTTATCTTTTGCCATTGTCTGTGCGTGTCAGGTTCTAAGGCTGGTCAGGAGGAGGTACACGACAACGGGTTCTTCTAAGGCTTCTCAGGAGGCACACGACTGCGCATGGTGACTCACGTAGGAGCAGATACACGGCAACGTACTATAGTGACTCACGTATGGTGGCTCCCAACGTAGTATAGGCTTCGATCACGAAGCGCCAATTACACGTCTACTTATGTCAATCAGCAAGAAGCGAAATCGGTCTGGCAGGCCTGCGAAAACCGCTCATTCTTTTGTTGAGTGTTGAACCGTGCTATCAGGTCAAGGATGCCATCATTCAACATAATCGTATTTGCTACCCTTAACAACTGGCTCATCAGATCATCAAGCAAAAACGAGTCATGTTCGCAAGACATTGAAAATACAAAATCCATTCTAATACAACAGGTCCCTGGACAAACCCATTTGTCACCATAGCCATGGTACGAGCGAGTTTCTTCTATTCTTTGAGACTAAAAAGAGCGTTACATATACTTTTTTTGGCGGACGGGAAAAGGCATGACTCCAGAGTCTTCGTTTTGGGGGAGATTGGTGAAGGTGCGGGTCGCGCATCTAAAATACAGATAAAAAGAGGGGAAAAGAGCTACAGCATGTCGTTCTTCCTGGTAAAACACAGTAGTTACTTCCATACGCCAAATCCAAAGTCGGGCTGACTTTCAAATGACTCTAGAACGTGCTTAATGTTTCTCCATATTGATTACAATTGCAAGTTTTTCGAAGGTTCGACGCACCAGCTCGGGTGGGCGCAGAGAAAGCATACATTTCGTAGACGCAAAGACAAAGAGAAAAGAATGGTGATAGAGTCTAAAAATAGACTAATTAATTACCATTCTTTCTTTCTCAACATTTATTTTAGGACTCACCGTAGAGAATCGAGTGACCGAATTCTTTTTGAGATACTCACATCGTCGAACTCGAAGTAGGCATATGTCATTACAGAACACGGTGCTGAGCTAGGAAAAGGTACAAGAAGAACTATATGCTACCTCAAGTTGCCAGTAAGGACCGAACAAGCGAACACAAAGACCTGATGGAGACATTTCTAGAGATGATCTGTTGATGCGGGACTGCGACTGAGATACGACTGAGATATTTAGGGTAAATTCTAGATCTCCTAGTGGTCCCATACTTGTTCTCAAATTTCGAGAGTCACAATTTGGCAAACAGCAGACATGAGAACTGGTGTGCGTTTTATTCGGAGAGGGAGAGGGAAAAAGATGTTGAAAAAGAAGTTCAGCATTGAATCTCATCTCAACTGAGGTGTATTCACCTAACACCTCAGTTGTCTTCAACTAACAGCACCTAGGTGGTGTTACTATTAGTGCGCTGTATTCGACTACTACTTTCTCTTGGCGTGTGTGTGTGCGCATTTTCGATCTTCTGGCGAACGAACGACCGAACGCTTAGTAAAAAGACTGAAATATTAAGCTTGAGTTTTATCATTTGCTTCTAATATAGGCTTCTATTTATTTTTAGCTTATTACTAGAAATAGATGACCGGTTGTCTAGGTATAGGAATCACACTTCGGGTTCTTTTCTACAGTGAGACATCTTAATCTTGTAACACACAAACACATCTTGATTTCTCGTGTGACTAAAAATTGAATTTGAAGTAGATAGACTGATAATATGATGCGCGACCGCTACCCTCTAGCGAATGATTAAGAACTCATAGTGTACCTGTACCCCAATAGAAGTATAAGCCTTGACGATCGTAGCCAATTTATCTTTTCCTCGACGTTCTTTCCCAATAATTGTGAGAGGAGTGTTAACAAAAACCCATAGTGTCGATTTGCAGTCTGTGCTGCGTGTTCGTCTTATTCAACAACAAAAAAAGGGGAAGTCAGATGCGTGGTCTATCTTCTGTTAATACAGCTTAAAAGTTCATCTTAGTTCGTGCATCCACCTAATAATTTGAACCACAATTACACATAGTGATTTCAACCACGCCGATATCATCTTCTCTTCTATCTCCATTCTCTACCCAGGCCCAGCGGCGGCTCCCGGACTACCACTTGGCTTCGTGTCCGTCAGGGCGGCGGCGCTTGGTGGATTAGAGGCTCAGTTTATTCAAAGATAAATTGTCTTCTTATCACATGAAGAGCGTCGAGGAAAAGACACTGGAGAGCTTCTTATCGTCATGAATAAATCTTCTGTCGACGCTTTGAATAAGGTGTGTACAGCTAAGCTGAATTAACATAGGGAGGGTGCTCTGCTAAGAAAATTTGACTCAATTTATTCAATTTTCTTGGTGAATTCGAGGCTCAATTTATTCATGATGATAAGAAGACTCAGAAGACTCAGAAGCATCTATAGCTTTCCATCACTGCCCCTTTTCGTACCAACTGCATTTCCACTGTATATTGCATCGTCCAAGCAGTCTCGTATGCTCTGGAGTTCCTTCAGGAAACCTAGGTTTGTACCTATTAGAGGCGAGAGAAATCCATCTTCCCCAGGAGACTAATCTTAGTCTCCATAACTAGTTTTTAACCCTTTAGAACCAAAGGAAGACCACCAACTTGGATCTAATTTACTCGTTAGTCCACTAGGAACCATGGATGCTTGCAGAGAGGCACATGAGTTTCTTGCTCGTTATGTGTTCTTGGAGCGGCCATAAATCTAAACCGCCACTCTGAGTACCGGTTAGGCTACTCGTGCTACTGCCCATCGCATCCCTTAAGGCTGGATCGTTCAACAACTTATGCACTTGCAGCATCTGCAATTCGTACTTCTTTCCACGTTAGAGGGAGGCGGGGGAGGGAGGGAGATGAGAAATGGAGGGAGATGAGAAATGGAGGGAGAGAAGTGGAGGGAGAGAAGTGGAGGGAGGGAGGGGGGGAGACAAGCGTGGAGAGTCAAAGAGGGGAATGATACTAGTATGTAACGACTCAAGTACTAAATTCAAATACTAAGGGTGGAGAGTCAAGTACTAGAGACACTATGCAAAGATTCGCAGGAAGAGTCGCAAGAGGAAGCATCACAAGTGAAGGAGAGAAAGACCTCTTCGTCAGAATACATGTGGCGGAGTACCTGTAACTAGAAAAGACAAAAGCCGCTCCGTTATCATACCCAATAATTATGACATTAAGTATTCCTCATCGCTGCCATAATTATTCGTTTCCGCGATCCGTAGTACTTGCTCTTTCTCAGTAGCCAACTCTGCATACCGGTTCAGCAGCTGCTTCGTCTTCAGCTTCTGCGATTCTATCTTCTTTTTGCTCGCTGAAGCCAAGATTAGAAGAGCTTGAGGTGCGGCGTGAGTATTGAAGAGGTTTCTGTCAGGTCCAGACGGAGAAAACTCTGAACGACCAAGTTTTCTTCGACTCTTGGTGAGCCAAGTTTTCATCAGTAGTTCTAATAATCTTCAAGCAGTAGAAGATGCAGGTCACTTCAAAAAAATCACAAGAACAGCCATCGTTTCTCAGCTGAGTGAATACATCCGTGCCATACGATATGTTTGCTTTCGTCTCTGACTTTAGAGAGCATCCGGTCTTTTTCGTTTAATTGACCCTCTGCCTTCTCTAGTGTGCCGCGTATTGTTTCGAGCTGAAAGATTTTTTGAACAAGTTCGCTAAAAAAGGAAAAGTCGAAAGTAGAACCATAGTACTAATAAATCCGACCACAATCTTGTTAGAAAACAGATGAAGGTCGCCGAAACTACCACATAGAAGCAGCTATTCCCCCATGTATCGAGCAATCATACTTTCACTCGTCTTATTAGAACAAGGAGGTCATCACAGTTCCACATGGTCCGTCACAACATCAAACGCCTGGTACCTGTTTCTCCGAGTCGTTTTCGAGTCTTTTGCGGTTTTCAGCGGATAGTTTGTTCACCTCCTCTTTAAAGGTTGCAGCATTACATTCTTCAGAACATCTTCCCTCACCTCTTTCGTCCTACTGGAAGAAAAAGAGTGAGGAATGGTTGTGGGGGATGTAATTCTTGGTTAGCCCTTAACCTCTAGTCTGGCTACGAGCGTCCTGTTTTCGTCTACGGTCGCGTCATACGTCGTTTTCAAGGAAGAGTGTGTCGTCACCAGCTCCCGGTTCTGCCTCTCTAGTTCGGCATGTTGCTTATGCAAATTGTCGTACTCCCTAGCCCTAAACTCGTTCTCGCGCGCTTTCTGTTGTTGAGATATAGACAGACAACTGTCTGTTGATGTTCGGGGAGCAGAAAAAGATAGAGGATATGGAGGAGAAATTCTGAGACAAGCAAAAAAGCGTAACTCATGCTCCGTAACTCAGGAGATCCTGAGAAAGACATAGAGTTCAAACAAACCGAAATCCGACTCTCCCATCTACTGTTGAAGTTGATAAACAAGGCGTAGAAGATACCTTCTCTTCCGATGAGCAGGTGAGTCGTAGTTGTGAAGACTCTGCAGTCAGGGTTTCGAGCTTTGTCTCGCACTCTGCTAGTTCCCTAGCAAAACTAGTCTCTTTGTCCCGCAGTTGTGTTCGCAGATGCTCTACTTCGCTTTTGGGATTAGACGATGCATGTCATGTGCATGTCATGATGTGGAAAGAGGTCTTTCTGCTGGTATCGGAAGGTTATAGCACCTTGTTGGTGCGCTACAGGTACGGTACAAAAGTGACAGATGAGAACAAAGCTGTTAATTAGTACGGTTATCAATAGATCGACGATCTTGTATGTGTCAGTGCAGTAACTACACCTCAAGAGTTTATAACAAACAGCCTTAATCAAACTCGCAAGTGCATGTGAGGTCGCTTCCTTTTCGGCGCTGACTTGGACTTCTGCATCCGCTATTCTTTGGTCTGCCTCACCCGTAGCATCCGCGACTTCCTTACACAACTGATCACACCTCATTTTCAACCGGGAAAGCTCCTGCTCTTTTACCTGGGGAATGTGGGTGTAGAAGGGGAATTGAATCCTATCCGGGAGGCCAGTCATGTCATGTCATGGCACCTCTTGTGTTGTAGCCATAAGTGTCTACTTATGAGGCCATCCAGTGATACAGTACCTCCTAAGGAGAGCCGTCATGGAAGAATGAGACATCCAATTCGAGAAGAGAGGAGCACACCTTAGAATATCAAGAAACTTGGTGTAATCTCAAGGCAGAAAGATACGAAGGCAGAAAGGAGGGTGCGAAGGCTCTGAAAGTGCACTACCTCCAACTCCTTTTTGCTCATCTCGGCATCCGTTTCTGCTGTCTTAACTCGTGTCAACAGGTCTTGCTTCACCCGCTCTCTATCTATCTCCGTTGACTGCAAGTTCTGCAACCGAAGGAGATCTTCCCTTGCTTGCTCTACTTCACTGATCTTAGAATCCAGTATGATGAGATATTCTACCACGATATACACGAAGCTTGTAATTATTAATATGGACGAACAGATGTAGTTGCAACTAAAAATATGGAAGCAAACTAAAAGGAGTACAAGGCGGTAAACAAGTGTTGACCCACGACTTGTACAATTTCTCATAATCACGTATCCCAATTGTCTCACCGACAGATCTTCTTTCTCCCGTTTCACTGCTAACAGATCGCTTTCTAGTTCCCTGGCTCTGCTCTGTGAGGAGCGGGCCTCCGATTGAGAAGACGTTATCTCCCTCCGCAACAATTCTACTTCACTTTTGTGCCTCACCTCCATCTCCTCCATCTCGGATAATAAAGACTTATTCTTGGCGGCCCTGTGGAAGAATGCAAGTGCTGAATACTTTAGTAGGGAATTCTGTAGTACATGAGAATAGTGTTGTCTAATTGTAGGTGGATACAGAGAGTCTACTTCAGACACATAGAACAACAAGAGAGTAATGTCTAATTGTAGGATACAGAAAGAAGCAGACGACTTTCCTAGAACTCATTCTAACAGGCTTCCTAGATTTGGCATCAAGCACGTCGCATTCCATCTCTCAAAGAATGCACCTCGAGAACCCTACCAAAAAAACATGCTTATCGTACATCAACAACTATAAATCAAGAACTACCTCTCATAAACTTGTTGTCTGAGCGTGGTCGTTGTTGCTGCTAGGGACGCGTTTTTGTCGAGATCTGATTGGAGACTGGCTATCTTCTCCTGATAGGTTAGAGGCCGTGCTATTGTAGTCTTCAGAGCATCCGCTTGACTTCTTTCCTATTGGAAAACAAGTCAAGAACGGTAGCGCGAGCCGGACGCAATGTGGAAGCCCTTAAGTAGACCTTTTTTTGCACCTCTAAGCGACTCTGAGTCTCTTGTTCGAAGTTTAAGATCTCTTTAGATTTTTGCGCAAGCTCCAGCCGCAGCACCTCAATCTGCCTCTTGGCATCGCTGAATTTACGCGCTTTCGTTAGAAAGGAAGAGGAGGAAGAGTTGTTGTTTTGATGCTGAAGATTATTGTTTATTGTTGTTGTACTAGAGAATCCCCAGACCAGGGTTATGGAGTGGAACATGTTCTTGTATGTAGAAGGCAAATAGTACGACCATTTTATCCGTCATGGTTGTGGGCTTCAGGTCTAAGCCTCCCAGGTCAAGAAGTACTTAGAGTAAAAGTCATTTTATCATAACTCCAAGTCCGCTCTTTTGTCCGCAGCCTCTAGTCTGTCCTGATAAAGCGCTTCCAACTCTTCACTGACTTTCAATCGCATCATTTCCATCTCCCTAGCAGGATCCCCAAGCTGCTGCAATTCTTCTAGCTCTTTTGCCTGTTGGGGGAACGGTGAATAGTGGGAATAGTTAAAAAGGTGACAGAGTAGTAATTGTTGTGCTCCTCAAACAAGTTATAGATAGATTGTGATCTTTGGCGTGTAGTACGTCACCCGCTCGATAAGGTGTCGATCAAAAAGAAACATCTACACCAAGATACCTTATGCAGCATCTTATCGTGCCACTCATTCAGCTGCTGGGAGAACTCCTGCTCCAACCGCGAGTAACGCTGTCTTTCTTCTCCTAAGGCTTTCTTAGCACTGGTATGCTGCGTCCGTACCCGCTCATAGGCGTCAACTAACTCCTTATGGACTTTCTGCAACGATTCCACATCGGCGGCCAACCTGGAAGTGGTAGTGTTGGCGATGTGATCATTCGAAGATGCGTACTCGCCATGCTTGGTTACGGGTTAAGCAGCTAGAAGAATCGGTGATGTAAGTGAAAATGAAGGAGTGGCTGGTGGGTGGAAGAGGTAGTGGTTCCTACGACAAAAAAACGGTAGTGCTCGTGCGCCTTGCCTTTTCCCGTGTAGTTAGGCTCTTGATTTTATGTCTTGTTTTCATGGAACGAACGGCCTTTCTGTATATCAGGCAAGAGCTTTATTTCTGTGCGAAGTAATCTTAAACGGGCTTTCTATATAACAGTCAAGAGCTATATTTCTGTGCATTTGCATTAGAATCTTAGAATACTAACCTTGAATTTGCCGCCACCGTCTGTCCCAAGTCCATCTCCAGTTCGCCTATCCTTTGAAGCAATTTTTCATAGTGTTGTGCTTGCGCCTGCGACTGGGCCTGCGACTGGGCCCCATAGTTATACGACACCTTGGAAAAGGACGTCATCTTTCCAGCTGGTGCGGAGATGAATAACGGGTTCCGTCGTTCTTTGGTAAGAGCTGATGTTCGGAGGATTTAGGGTTTAGACACCAAGGGGAAAGTATTTCTCTCGTGTTCGCGTCGAAGACCGACTCTTCGCGGGAAGATGGTAAGACGAGGGAGGCGTGGTGTGCGTAGTTGATGAAGATCCGACCACTCTTGTTTGGTGCCAATATTAAAGGTTGCAGCATTACATTCTTCAGAACATCCCTCACCTCTTTCCTACTGGAAAAAGAGTGAGGAATGGTTGTGGGGGATGTAATTGGTTAACCCTTAACAATAGAGGTGCTACTCGACGTTATTCTTCTGTTCCCAAAAGGGATGGCGACGATGTTGCTGTGAGGAGACGCTGCAATTCTGCGCTCCACGTGTCTGGTCCACCACGTACCGTATAAGAAGAAAGTGGACAACCAGCGCACGCGGCGGCGCCCCGGCGGGCCTGTCGGACCTCCGACTACATCCTTACAATTCAAATTCAAATTGATTCATCTTTGGTTTCGCGTGTCTGCGGAAGAAAAAAAACGAATCGTCGCCTACTAAAAATGCTATAAATTCTTCGATAACTTACTACATATCGATCTTCTTCCAGGGGACCTAAGAGATTTTTGTCCTCACCTCTACATCACTTACTTCTACATTTCGTATCTTCGATAAGATAGCCACTTTTTCATGAAGATCAACGCTAGAAAGCAGTACAATCTCCTCTCTCGTTCGCGTTCTTCAACATCGTTCTGCAAAGCAACTACGTTTTTGAAGACCATCTTTGCATGCATCTCTCACTTCGAACTTCGCTTGCGATCCATGTTTCAGCTACTTACACTTCGTCTCTTTCGAGGTGGATATTTACTCACCGATTAGGACACACTTCTATGCTTACAGCATGCACTTGTTGTTTGAATTTGCAATCACAATAAATGATTCACAAGTATGGTTTTATGCTTTATTCTCAAAAGATCTAGACTTTATTCTTAAAAGATTTAGGCTGTATTCTCAATAGACGACGTCTAGCACTGCGACATCGACTACAAACATTGATTCCTCGAAGATGGTATTAGATCAGTATACGGAGGTATTAGATCAGTATAAAACTGACGACTCAACGCAGCTACAGTGATGCTGTAGCTTCCACGAAGATAACGCCGCTATGCGCAGGACACGCAGAAGTTTAGAACCTCTGCCGCACGGCTGATTAAAACAAGAGACAAAATATTGAGAAAGTAGTCAGAAAGCGGAAAATACTAGTTGAGTAGACACGATGCTGCGACGAATACTAAACTTGATCCTGCGGTCACGAGTCTTCTCCTATTGATTTAGTGTATTAATCTTCTAGCGATGACACCAACGAAGAAATTGTTGGGTCATCCTTTGATAATTGTTACGCTGGACATCATTAGACAGGAAAATGATAACCCCTATGCACGTGATTCGAGATTACCTTTCGTTCTATGAAAACAAGAAGACATAAAATCAATATTCACGACAACTACAAAATCTTTCTTCAGTCACAGGATATTTTCATCACAAGTAATGCCTATTTACAACAAACATAATAAGCTTCAAAAACAATAGAAATCGGCACAGGCCTCTCCGTTACTCTGTCCAGGTGGTCCGAAGTTCGTGCGAATCGGCTCGCCTAACAACGTTTCGATCCCCTCGTTGATTAGAGTGCGACTATAGTGTCCGTGATATTCTTAACCCAAGTCAACCTCAACCACTTCTGTGTTTAGCACCACTAGGGCACCACTAGGACCTATTCCACCTATCATCAATCATCATAACTTCAAGGTATCGTACGGTAAGATGTCTCCGTCTTTCACTTCCTTTTTCGTCCACGTAATGTACTCCTCCAGTTGGCGCAGGAAAGGCACTGTATCAAACGCGCCGCACCACATTCCTTTGCAGGAACTTTCCGGGATTTCGTTGTTAGAGAAAGACAAGAAGTGCGTATGGAGCGAGTCACAAGGCGTCAGCAGAGGCACATACGGGACGCGTCCCTTAAGTGCCTCAGGCACTAGTCCTCACGAGGCACTTCGCGAGGCACATAAGGGACGGCCCGATTAAGTGTCTCAGGAACTAGTTACGAGGCACATAGCGAGGCAACACCTAGCGAAGCAATTGAGCGGCGCATCGCTCAAGCAGTGACCCTTAAGTGCTTCAGTCATCACTTAAGCAACACTTAATGAAGCACTTGAGCAACACTTAGTGAAGCACTTAAGCAACACTTAGCGAAGCACTTAAGGGGCATGCCGCTTAAGCGGCGACACTTAAGTGCTTCGGTCATCACTTAAGCAACACTTAGTGAAGCACTTAAGCAACACTTAGTGAAGCACTTAAGCAACACTTAGTGAAGCACTTAAGGGGCATGCCGCTTAAGCGGTGACACTTAAGTGCTTCGGTCATCACTTAAGCAACACGTAGTGAAGCACTTAAGGGGCATGCCGCTTAGGCGGTGACCCTTAAGTGCTTCGGTCACTACGTAAGCCTCGCTTCTCTCACATGATCACTAAACTATACCTCTCTACAACCTCCTGTGGTTGTTTTTCCGTCTCAGATATGATCAAGCCACAGGCTCAGCCAACTCTGGATTCAAGCACTCATAACAATGTACACCGTCACAGTACTTTTTGAGGCCTCAGGGTCCCTGGTTTCATCGACTTCCATAGCATCAGCCAGCGGCGTCGGACTCGACTGATGATCCTTCGAGGGCTCGACCTGTTTGATTGATTGACTGAGACTGATTGACTCACGCGACTCCTGTTCTTGAGCAATAATAATATGATAGGGCTATTAATAATGTGCAGCACAAGTAGATAGCAACAGTTGCATCATAGTTCGACTTGCATTATCGATAAACGTGATTTTGTAATGAACTTCTTCCATCCCACTAGTAGACGACATCAACGTATCAATACCTTCAAAACTTCTGGCAGTCTTACTGTGACAGCGACGCGTCTGACCGGGTCTTTTTTGACGACTGGACGACGACGCCGGTTCGCAGTCAAATTTGCTCCACGCATAGCCAAAGCCATCAATCCAGACGTGGCGGCTGCTACACGACCCGCTCTTAATTTGTTACACGAGCTCCCGGTAGCTGTTGTAGAACTTGTAACTACAGCAACATCTCCAGCAGCTTGGTTCGTCTTCGTGCCATCATCTATGTTCTTGGCAAAACGAGTGGCGCCGGAGCAGGGAGGGGAAGAACTACCTGTGAGTGTTGTCACTCTCAAATTCTGACTGTTGTTGGAGATCCACAACTGCACATGAATGTGACATTATTTTTTTGTCGAGCCGTTGTTGAAGAGTGATTTTTTGTGGCTAGTTTATGTCTGCGAGAACAACTTGGCTCAACATTTGAATTTAGTTTCCATCTTTGGTAGGCGAACCTGTCTGACACCCGTGGGACGAGGCATAGGTGGAAGGTGCAAGTGCCGGAGTAAAGCCTGCCAGGCTACGGCCATTTACACCGGATGCGGCGAGTGCAGCTGCCACGCTGAGCACATGAAAGCAAGATGGAAACGACTGAACCATCTTTTTTCAAAATTTCAAATAAGTTCCTATCAAGCACGACAAACTCACTTATGGTGTAATACAAAAGGTGGTCGTTGTAAGAAAAATTAGTAAGTTCGTTATATCAACAACTCTATGTTGATGGAAGGACGACGGAGACACAATGGAATACTCAACACAATTGCAATCGACAGACAAAATGGACGTCATGCACTTTTACTTGGTTATGTTAATGGACGTCTCGTTGATGATAATGTGAATGCATGCGGCAGTCTGCCTAAGATTTGCCTGGCGATGTCTTGTTAATGCAACAGAATCCAGAGGCAGGGATCTTTCTTCGTTCATTGCTCTTACAACACAATCCACAAAGATGGATCCATATCTCTTCGTCACTCACAGTCGAGTCCTTTTGTTTAATAATCTATCAACCAGGTCATATCCATAGCACGAAAGTCTTTGCACTTACTAATACCCTTACAAGACCTTGTTCGCTTCTACGGTTTTACACCAAGCTTTGTTCTCTACTTCTGAAAGACGGATATTAATCTTTTTGCTAAGAGAGAGAATGGAGTGCATGCTCGTCTTGTTAAGAGAGCAAACCGAGAATCATTTTGTTACAGCTGCCTGAGACGTTTCTTATTATATGGTGCTCTGGAATTCCTAAACTTATAACACTGAAAACGGATACCACGAAGAAGGGAGCAGTGGAAAGAGCTTTTCGAAGTGACGTCTACAAAACAACCCAAGGTCTTCATGCTCATAGTAGATTGAAGTTTTTGTTTTAATATCCAAAGTAGAGTAAGCACACGTAAAAAGCTGAACTTCTTCTACTGTCCTTAACCAGAAATAGACTAGCACAAACCCTCGCTGAGGCATACATCTTCCTGCCGTTGCTGAAAGCTTTTCCACTCCTTTCGCAGGCCACTCAGGTGTTGCTACTTTACTACGCCTCGCAAAGCCTGCGCCCTTCCCGGCTTCCGAAAGTAAGCCACTTCCCTGCTGCCTCGCCTAGGTCGTGCCAAGTCTTGCTCTGCCGGTGTGCAGCATTCGTCTCACGAAGGCAGTGCCACTGAAGTGCGCCACGCTGCCTTCCCTGCGCTTTCTTTGTCTGCACCCCTGTAGCACCGGGTCCTTTCGTTCATTCTTGGCCCCGCCTTGCTTCGCAATGGGTACTCTTTGGAAGGGCTAAAACGTGCTGGGAAAACCAGGGCGCCGGAAAGCACTTTTTGAATCGCTTTGGCGGTCCGTTGCCCGAGTGCCTCGCCCGTCTCCCGGTTTCCGAAGGCCGTGGCCCGTCTCCCTGTTTCCCGCAACAGTGCATCCCCCCGCGCGCGGGGCCTCATCTTCGGCCCGGTAGCTCCCTTTCGCGCGGGTCCCCTGCCGGCGCCGCGGCGTCGAGCCCCGCCGCCCTACAGGCCCCGGGCCGGGGGCTTGCGTGGCGGAGCGTGCGGCGGCCCGTGGAGAAAAAACGCAGACGGCGCGGCTATTCTTTTAGCTTAACCGATGGCGCAGCCTTCAGGACTTGAGAGAAGGGAACACCGTGGACAAATCTGCCGAGAGAGACCCACCCAAGGAACAAGCGGAAGCCAGTAAGAGCTCGCCCAAACTGGTCAAGCTTGAGAAGCTTCACGCCTGCCCGTCTACAATTTTGGAGGAGCTTGAAACAAATGGAAAGCCTCCGCCACAAACGTCGGGACTTCTTCAAGGCCTTGGCTCGCTTTGGTAGGTATCCAGCGCGGGCCCTCTTCGCTGTGGAGGCCATTCCACAGCGCAGCGGTCGCCTTTGGTGTCCATGCATTCCCTGGCACACCTTGCCGCGTGTCGCGGGTGGCGTAGTGACAAGCTACCAGGCTACGCGCGTGGCCGTTCGGTGGCAGTTCATAAGATGAAAAAATAGGGCAGCGAATTCATTTCAGTGGAGACTATAAAGGAAAAGCATCCCGCTCAGCTTCTTTGGCTCAGAATCTAGAGGGGGGCGCTAGAGGTGTGGACTTTTTTCATTTGGGAAAAAAAGCAGAGCCCGACACTTCTCAGCCTTTTTGGCTCAGGATCTAGGTAGAGGGGCTGCGAATGTATTTCAGGGGCGGCCCTGTCTCTTTGGGTCAGGATCTAGATGGGAGAACGTGGGCTGAGGGTTTATTTCGTTAGGGATTGGAAAGAAGTTGCTCCCTTTAGCTCCTTCCTGCAAGCTTTGCCGTTGAAAATGAGGGCAGTAGGTGTTTTTCCTGGTGCTTCTCGGGAGACTCCTCGCACCTTTTTCCGCTCAGAACCTAGAGGGAAGGGCTTGGGCTGTGGGTTTTTTCCAGTGGGGGCCAAAAAACTGGAGCGCTGTAGGGGGAGCGGTTAAGCTGTAAACTTATTCCATTGGCGACCACAGAAGAGCAAAGCCCCCCCCGCTATTTTTTGGCTCAATTACTAGAGGGAGGCGCCTGGGCTCTGCGTTTATCCCTGTGGGGATTAGAGAGCACCCCTAGGCTTATTTTTGCAGGCTTTTCCCCTGAAAAGGGCGGCGCTGTGAGTTTTTATCAGTGCAGTCCCATGACAGGCCGCGCACGTCTTTGAAGTGTCCAGCCATCTGCGCCATGCTCGTAAATTTGGTGCCGCTGATACTTTTCGCCTGGAGTATTTATCTCCCAGCTGAGCAGGCTGCTACTTTCAAAAAAATAAAAGAGAGCGGCCATCTGCAGCCGAATAAGTATCCTGCGCCTACTAGATATCGCGAGCAATAAGATCAGGCGGCAACGTTAAGCCGCTGCATTATTTCGGCCGTTTTTCTTTTTTATTCTTTGCGATATTTGAGATCGAGCCCCATGGTTTCTCGTTTTTAGTTACCATCGCCCTCCGATTGAAAACAGACCAAAAACCGAACGAGCGGACGGCGCTCGAGCTTACTCGGAGGCCTTCGCCAAGGCACTCCGAGACAGGCGCGCCCCCTCCTCATCCTGAACCAAGCACAAGCCGCAGCCAAAAACGGCACGCCCATCAACGGCGTCACCATTTGGGTCCACGATAGCAGGACCGTGGCGAGCATATTCGCCCGCCCTGAGTCCGGAAAAGAACACCAAGCGCAAACAGGCACACGCTGGCTATCTTCCTCAGGCAAAGGCCAGCACTATACGATGCAGAGCCGTCGCCTTTCTACGAATGCAGTAACTACATCAAAAACCAGGCGCAGCCCACTACTCGCTCACTCTTGCCGGTGCTCCTCTTCTTCGCTGGGGAATTGGCCGCCGATTAAGAACTTGCCGAAGCGACCCTTTCCAGTGCGAGGCTGCCAAAGCATCCACCACCCAGGCCACCCCTGCCCAAGGCCTTCGCGGTGTAGTGAGCCACACGCAGGACCGAGGCGACAAGAGGTGCGCGCTCGGTGTCCCGGGATCGCTGCCCCGCCGTAGCGAAACCGATAAGCAGATGCCAGAAAAGCCCAGAAAAGAAGAGAAGGCAGCACGCGAAACCGATAACAAAGCGGACGACCCAAGAGCAAAGCGCGGCCACGCCTTGAGCAAGACCGGGGGAGGCGAGCGGGGGAAAAAGGGGGCAGAGAAATCGACAAGGGAACCGAAGCAGCGCTGTCCCTTAACGGTTTCGCCTAAGAGTTTCGCGGGGTTTTCCATTGGCCGCCGATTAAGAACCTGCCGAAACCCTTCCCAGTGCGAGGCTGCCAAAGCATCCGCCACCCAGGCCACCCCTGCCCAGGGCCTTCGCGATGTAGTGAGCCACACGCAGGACCGAGGCGGCAAGAGATGCCCGCTCTGTGTCCCGGGACCGCTGCCCAGCCGTAGCGAAACCGATAAGCAGATGCCAGAAAAGCACAGAGAAGAAGAGGAGGCAGCACGCGAAACCGATAGCAAAGCGGACGGCCCAAGAGCAAAACGCGGCCACGCCTTGAGCAAGACCGGGGGAGGCAAACGGGGGAAAAAGGGGGCAGAGAAATCGACAAGGGAACCGAAGCAACGCTGTCCCTTAACGGTTTCGCCTAAGAGTTTCGCGGGGATCCACTCGAAACCGATACCCGCACGAAGTTCGAAACTGTTAAGGGACAGAACTTGGGCAAGCCGAAGCCGCTGAGGGACTTGCAAAACGGCCGGCAGCTTTTCGCGTTTTGTCTTCGCGTTTTTGGCCTTTTTCCCGCGCTTGTGTTTTGTGTTGTGGCCGCTCCCCATCTGTGAGGCCTCGCCGCGTGTCTCGCTTTTTGGCGGGTTCGCTCCCTAAGTGTTCAGAAGCCGGGGCCGATGGATAAGCGACCCAGGCGAAACCGATAACGGCACCCGGAAAACCTTCGCCGCCTTGGAGGTTTTGGACGTGTTTCGCCACCCACCACAGTGAGAGCACAGGCCACAAGCGCGCAAGCCTCCGGGGATACTATGCACCCCGCCACCGCGTCGCTTTGTCGCGGTGCGCAGGTGCGTCGCCACTTTGCTCCGCTTGCACATCGGCGCGGCGACTGAACAGAGGAGACAGCCGAACAAGCAGAACGACGCAGCAGACAGAACGACCAACGGAGCGAACAGAGCGACAAAACAGACAAGACGACCAAGCAAGGAGGACGACAGAAGAGACAGAAACAAGACCGAACAGCCAGAACGACGGAACAGACAAGACGACGGAACAGACAAGACGACGGAACAGACAAGACGACGGGGCAGACAGAACGACAGGACAGACAGAACGACAGCCAAACAGGCGGAACGACTTAGCAGAAGAGACGGGGGAACACCCTCAGGCCGCTGGGCGGTGCGTGGCCATGCTTCAGCCGCAGCCACCACGGCGCGCCCTCGAATCACAGGGAGGCGAGAATGGAGCGAAGAAGGGAGCCAGAGGAAGACGACAGCCGCGAGAGCTCTTCAGAGAGCCCAGCCCTGCGAGCTCTGCGCGGGTTGGCTCGCATGTCGCTGCTGTCTGCTCCTCTCTCTTCCCTTTCTCCTCCCCCGGTGATTCGAGGCCGCGCCGCGGTGGCTGCGGCGGGCGTGCGCCGTGTTGTGTCTCTCAAGCCAGGCGAGGTCCTTGGACTGGCTCCGCCCGGTGTTTGGGGGCGGCTGCTGGCGGCCGCGGCTGGGGTGTGCTTGGCGGTGTCGTGGTGCGGCTTTTTCTTAGCTTGACCAATGGCGCAGCCTTTCAGGACTTGAGAGCAGGGAACACCGTGGGCGAGTCTTCTAAGAGAGACCCACCCAAGGAATGGAACAAGCGGAAGCCAGCAAGAGCTCGCCCAAACTGGTCAAATTTGACAAATTTCATACCTGCCCGTCTATCATTTTGGAGAAGCTTGAAACAGGTCGAAAGGCTCGACCAC